ATTGAATAATTACATATGTACTATTCATTAAAAGTCAAAACCCTATGCACACTTCAGGTGGGGTGCCTCATACCTGTAATCCCAAGAATTTGGGAGGCCAAGATAGGAGGATCACTTAAGCCCAGGAGTGTGAGACCAGCTTGGGAAACAGGATTAGACCCTGTCTGTCTCTACAAGACATTAAAAACTGGCTGGGTGTGGTGTTGTTTGCCTGTAGGATGAGCTATGCAGAAAGATGAGGAGGGAAGATTGCTCAAGCAACCCAGGAGGTTGAGGCTACAGTGAGGTGTGATAGTGCCACTGCATTTCATCCTCGGCAAACAAAGCTAGACCCTTCTTTAGAAAGCAACCACGAAAATAACAACAAAAACAAAAATCCTCCAGACAAAACACAGAGCTGTGGTTGCTTGAAGACAGGGATGTGATTAGAGACTGACTGTGAAAGGTGAGGAAAGATATTTTTGGAAGAATGAAAGTGTTCTAAAAGTGGATAGAGTGATTGAGCATAAAATGAATTTATTAGCAATTTATTAAAGACATTAAGCCATACACAGCAAGTAAATTTTATGGTATGTAAATTATACCTCAATTAAGCTGATAAAATAATTGAGGGTCTCCATAAGCTTTTGTTGATGTGGGTTTTTGAATGTCAAGATATGCTGTATTAGAAATTAAAACTGAAAAATAATTAAATATACATTTATGAATAATTTAACAATTATAAAACCATAATTGGTAAAGTAATATTTCTATGAAAAAGTATACTTTCCAAAACCATAAAATAAATAAAAGGGTGGCTTTGATTACATGTTTACAAATCCCATTAACGTCTGGCTTAATAGAAGCCAGACATTCTCACATCTGGATTCTCACATGTGCTTCTTCTTTGTTTTGCGATATTACATGTCATGTAGCCCCTGGGAAAATCTCCTGTACACTCTTGGGATAATAAAATTTCAAAGAGCAATTAAAGTCTAAACGTTAGTATAAAAATAGTTTTGACTTCATGCACCCTAAAAGTATTCACAGCCACACATTGTGAACCCCTGTAGTAAGGACCCATTTCCTAATCACCTACTTGTTGTAAGGCTGGGGTGAGGAAGAAAACTGTCTAAAACTAGGGCTGCCTGGGACCCAGGACATTGGGTCTATATCTTGTTCCTTGAGCTCCTAGACCCTGAAAACCAAGCATGGGGCACAGTAGCCTTCCCATGGTGCTGTGATTGTATGAACAAAAGAGGATGCATTTCCTAGCACTCTTTTCACCCATCACAAACCATAAGAAGCTATAGTGGCAAGTTTACATCCTGGACTTCTATTTTTATGCTTTTTCAATCACATTTTTAAAAATTGCCCATCCTTGTACAACCTAAATGTATCATCTTTTACGAACATTAGTCTAAATCAGAGATTCTCAGAGTATGGTTCAGGGACCAGCAGCAGCCTCTTATAAGTTGCCTAAAACTCAAACTCTCTGATCACACCCCAGACCTACTGAATCAAGAATATCATGGGTAGGCCTCAGCAGTCTGTGGCCTCAGAAGCTTTTCAGGTGATACTGATGCACCAATTAGGCTAACTCATCAGCCTGGCTGTTAATCTAAGAAGGCTCCCTTCTCAGAAAGGAAACACAGCACAGCTGGTAATGAAAACTTTAGCCCACTCCCATCTCCTCCTCTTCCTGGATCTGGACAATGTGGGTAGATACAAAGCATCAGTTCCGGGTGGTGGGCAAGCAGGATAAGACAACGGAGGTCCCTTGAGGAGAAGCACCCAATTGGAAGGTGAGAAAAGTGAGCTGCATGAACTAGGCTACCAGGCTTCTGGATACTGTTTGCTTTTCTTACTCCATAGTTTTCACGGAGCCTTTAATAAAGGCTTTAACCAAAGGTGCAGTCTCATCTCTTCCCTATGTTTTAGAATAAATTGAAGCAGGGTTCAACAAGCATATTAATGTGGAAAAGCCCCATTTGTGGTCACTTTGATGGTGGCAGTGGTTATCCGAAACTTTTCAAAGGAATAGAACTGGAATGAGAACCACTCTCTCCACCTGGAGACCGCCCTCCTGAGTGCCTTAACAGGTTCTGGACCTTACTTACATTGAAAAGTTTTGTTATTGTTCATTCAAAACCCTATTGATATTATATAGATACCTGTCTACTTTTATTCTCCCAGTACAACTGTGCACATATATTTTTGCTACTTGCAAAATGAAAAATAACATACAAATGTTATTTTAACCCATGATATGTAACTAGTCTTTGTCACTATTATGTTAATATTTGTTAACATATTTGGTATAAATTATTTTAAATTTTGTGTTTCAGTGGGAGAAACATCAAGAAAATTACACGAAATATTTTCAGATTCACTGCAAAGGTGCTTTTATCTGTACTGAGAGAGGCAGAGACTGAAAGACAAATCTGGTGTGAAATCACTTTCACTTTTAATATAGTGTTTTGGGAAAATGCATGGCAAGCAAATCTTCTAGGAATGAAAAGATGTTTTAAAATATATTTGTTTTTTCAACACTTAAGTTCAGGGGTACATGTGCAGGATGTGCAGGTTTGTTACATAGGTAAACGTGGGCCATGGTGGTTTGCTACACAGATCATCGCATCACCTAGGTGTTAAGCCCAGCATTTATTAGCTATTTTTCCTGAGCTTTCCCTTCTTCCACCCTTGACCCTTGAGAGGCCCCAGTGTGTGGTCATGTTTTTTCATCACTCAGCTTCCACTTATGAGTGAGAACATGTAATGTTTGGTTTTCTGTGTCCCACAGTCTACTGAGGATAATGGCTTTCAACTCCTTCCATGTCCTTGTGAAGCACATTGTTTTGTTCCTTTTCATGGTTGCATAGTATTCCATGGTGTATATGTACCATATTTTCTTCACCCAGTCTATCATTGATAAATATTAAGGTTGATTTGATGTCTTTGCTGCTATTTTTCTCTCCCAGTCAGTACCACAAGAAGGGAAAATTTCTCTTGATTCTTCTGGGTTTTCCCTGTGAGAGCCTCTTGGCATTTCTATTGGAAAAGCCTGCCCTTTGGGTGAGGATTCTTCTGTATCTGTGACCCTAAGGGTCTTTGCACACTCACTCTAGCCCAGCTTTGGTTTGAGCAGTAAATTAAAACCATTTGGTTTATCTTCTACCTGCTTTTATGGGCTTTGGTAGAATCTGCCCCAGATAAATGTATGCATGAGTCCTGTTTTTCTCAGTGCTGTACCTGTCTCTATCCAGAACTTATTGTCTTGTTACCTCTATTCTCTAATGGTTTAGAAAACAGACAAACGAGCCAGGCACAGTGGCTCATGCCTGTAATCTCAGCATTTTGGGAGGCCAAGGCAGGTGGATCATGAGGTCAAGAGTTTGAGACCAGCCTGGCCAATATGGTGAAAATGCATTTCTACTAAAAATACAAAAATTATCCGGGCATGGTGGCATGTGCCTGTAGTCCCAGCTACTCAGTAGGCTGAGGCAGAAGAATAGCTTGAGCCCGGAAGACAGAGGTCACAGTGGGCCAAGATTGCACCATGGGACTCCAGCCTGGGCAACCGAAGGAGACTGTGTCGAAAAGAAGAAAGAAAAAAAAGGAAAGAAGGGAGGGAGGGAGGGAGGGAGGGAGGAAGGAAGGAAGGTAGGAAGGAAGGAAGGAAGGAAGGAAGGAAACAGGGAGGGAGGCAGGGAGGGAGGGAGGGAGAGAGAGAGAGAGAGCGAAAGAAAGAAAAAACAAACGAAACCTCATTAATCTTCAGCTTGTCTCGCACTTTTTTTCTTGCAAGAAGCCGGCAATAGTATTTTCATCCTTCTCCATTTCTGAGCTGCAACCATAAGACCCTATTAGGTTTTATGATGTCCCTGAATGTGTCAATAATGTCATAATTGGCTGTAACTTTTTTCAAACCAGGTATAAATCAATGATATTATAATTACATTGTAGTTAATTTTTCTTTCTTTCAATTATCTTTGCTATGCAGCTGTTTCCAAACACTTTCTCCTAAGAAAATTATTTTAACAGGCCATGCTTATTTTTTGCATAGTGTTTTTCAAATGCATTTATCCAATTTCCTCTCATGCTTACATGCAGGTGAAATGTTTTTGGCAAAAACACTACAGAGGTGCTTTGTGTCCTTAGTCATCTGCCTCTGTACACGTTAAATTATGCACTTTCACTTATCAATTATACCTCAGTAACACTGCGGATAGAGCTAACATGTGGGGTAGAACTTTGATGATATGCGAATAGACTCTTTCCTAAAATCTATTACTTATTTTATTATTCATTAATTATTCTTGCCTGATTCAATTATTTTTATGGCATCTGTAAAATAATAATTTTCCACCATTTCTTCCATTGCATTAGTTGGCCTCTCCAGAATTAAGTAATTAGTGTTCTATTGTATTATTAAGGATTCGGGTTCTTTCCACCTTTCTGTTTTCCTTAGAGTAATGGGTTTTGTTTTAGATTAGTTCACAATGAGTCCACAAAATGGTTACATAAGCAAATATTGCATCCAAATAATGTCCACAGGCAGAAAAGGCAATTATTTCTTCCATGTGTCTCTTCTGTAGCAAGAATACCTTTTACAGAATTCTCCCAGGAGTCTACTTTCTTGTTCTTTTGGCCAGAATGGGAGTATAGAATTGGAGTACACACCAATCAGAGAATAAGAAAAGAAAGGAGTAGAAATCTTGATAGCTTTGCACAAAATAATGACCCACTGCCTGTGGCTACAGAGCAGCCCAGGACCTGTGATTTTTAGAAATTTTTGTAGATGAAGTAACGGATATGAAAAATATTGGATTTCTTTTAGGGAGCTTGAAAATAGTGTATAGGCCAAAGTTGTCAAGAAAGAGTGCATGTTATCAATCTGTTGCATTCTTTGTGCCTCTCCATCCTATTTTAGCCATTCAGAAAACATGGACTGTCTTGCTACAGTGCGTACATAATGAGTGAAAAAGATCTTCATCTCATCTCATATGCCTTGGGGGAAAATGACACTTTCCTTTTATTTTCTCAGAAACACAGCTTCTGCTATCATGCAGTGTTCTACCAGTGAGCTCACCTGCTCGATCTGCACAGACTATTTCACAGACCCTATCGCCATTTGCTGTAGGCACAGAGTTTGTAGTCCCTGTCTCTGCCTCTTGTGGGAAGATGCACAAACTCCAACTTGCTGCCCTGTGTGCAGGGAAGTATCACAGCAAATGAACTTCAAACACATTACTTTTGTTAAGAAACAAGTTTTTCGTACCAGAGAATCAGTCACCTGCCACGTATCAAGCTCTGCCATGCTGATCTGTAGGAGACACCAGGAAACCAAGAACTTCACCTGTGAAACAGACAGGAGGCTGCTGTTTTCTTTGCTGTCAATCGCCAGAGCATGCTACTCACAGACAATATAGGATAAAGGCTGATGAATACTATAAGGTAAGCGAATGCCACTGATTGCACTTTGAAATGTGAAGGACCCTGAATCCTACAGGTAATAAGGAAAGATACACTTTATTAATAATCTTATGGACTTATATTTTTATGCTTTTTCAATCAGATTTTGTACATCCTAAATGTATCATCCTTTACAACCTAAATGTATCTTTTTATTAATTATAATAAAATCATTATTATTAGTAGTAAATCATTAATAATTTTATGCAGTAAACAGAATTACTGATGAACATGTATTAGACACTGTTCTAGACACTAGGATTAAGCACTAAAGAAACCACACAAACATCCCTCCTAACCTGAAATTTAAATTCTATTGGGCTGAGGGAGAGGAATGATGTCAAAGTTGATGAGCATTAGGGTTCTGGTATTTCAGTGTAAGGAGCTCTAGATTAATCACTAGTTTCCATGATAGTCATTGGCTAACAGTCATGATTGCAATGAATCTATTACAGAAAATTCTAATAAATCCTGGTCACTATGCTCCAACAGTACTGTAGATGAATTGAAGGCTAGCATTTTAAAATTAAATATAAAATAAGATTTACTTCTGAAAATTGACCAGGTTGTATCAGTTTCAGTGCCAGATTTCTAAGATAATGGATCTTGTTTTCCAAATTTGGGAATTCTACCCTTGGTTTGATTGGCATCTCAGACTTGACAATCAGCGTCCTTAAGAAAAGCCCCTACATGTCTGCATTCTGCACTCTTTATTTGTCCCATGTCTATATCTCTTTTAGAAGTATCTGAAATATACAATATTTTCTAGTGCTCAAATTTATAGTTTTTTTGTTTGTTTGTTTTTCAGGAGAACTTCCTGAAGCAAATGAAGTCCATCTGGAAAAAAAAAATAGAAAAATTAAAGAAATCTAAACAGAGAGACCAACATAATACAAAAATGGAAGGTAAGCAGTAAGCTCATTTTTCTCAGAACTAGTTTGGAATAGAAAATGTGGTAACTTGTAGGGGAAGAATTTGAGTTTACTTATAATGTTCCCTGAAAAGGATGATCAGAAAAAAAAGCTACATGTGTTTCTCTACAAAATAACATAACCTTCAGTGTGAGAGTTCATGTTGAATCCAATGTATAACTAAAAAAACATCCTGATATTTCTTGATAAAGCAGTATCTACCAACAATACATATCTGCAGAGACAAGAAAATGTGCTAAAAATGGCATGCTAGGATGAAGGTAAAAATAGGATTCTACAGCAGCTTAGCAGGCATGAAATGCCAAAAAAAAAAAAAAAATAGCTTCTAGGTGAAAATCAATCTGATACTAATGTATTAGTAAAATTGAGAAATTTATGGATGACAATGATAGAAGGATTTTAGGAATAAGAAAGCTAGAAGTTAGAAAAATGGTAAAATTATTTGGACATGTGAGTAACTCCTCTTGATTACTTCATGAAAAAGTGTCCAGCAGTGATAAGAGATATGGCTATAAATGTAATTATGGCCAGGTCTAGAATGTGAATGCTTAGCTAAGAATTTATGATTATATAATCCATTCACAAATAAGAATTAAGTACTTAAAACTGAATAAGTAAATTAAACAACACTTTTATTCTGAAAGATCACAAGCACTTCTGAAGGAGACATATAAACAGGGACCAGGAGAGAATAATTCATTCAACAAGAATCAACACATGATACTGTACGAATGTCAAAGGGAAACAACAAAATCATATTGATCATTTCAGATGGATTTTCTGAGGCGGCCTGCATTCTTGTGAGGGGCTATCATATGTTGCTCACCGCTCTAGCCCAACAACCTGAGTCAGAAGTGGACAAAAGAAGAAACAGATCACTAACCCCAGGAGTCTATGATCTAGTGGGAGAATTCAATCCACAAATTAAAATGTAAACTTTATAATAAATAATGTTTGTGAAGTGCTTCAGGGAAAAATAAAGCAGGGAATGGGTATAAAGAATGCAGGTTTGTAGAATGTATGCTGGTTAAGAACAACCCATTTTCAGGGATAAGAAGGTGCAGAAGAAATGAATCAGTGGCTTTATAAGAAGGTATTTTTCTATGGCAGGAAAAACAAGGTATGATTAAAATGAATAAGCAGAAAATAATTGTCAAATGCAGAAGGAAGGTGAAGAATTCTAGGACTTAAGCATAATATTTGGATTTAGAAAAAAGAAGCTCTTGGTTAGTTGTAATGTTTGATTCAGGAAAGAGTAGGGAATAGAAGTAAAGGGGTCATTAATCACACAGATGAGCACAGCAAGTCTGATCACATTTGATCAATAAATTTAGCTTTGATAGGGATAGAAACGTTCTAGCAAGTGAAGCCAGATGAGGTAACTGGGACAAGAATTTTTTTTTTTTCCAAAGTAATTTGCGAAATGTGTACGTTTAAAGGTGCAAAGGAAAGAAGGGAAAAACTGTGTGAAAAAAGCAATTGAGGCTGGGTGTAGTGGCTCATGCCTGTAATCCCAGCACTTTGGGAGGCCAAGGCAGGCAGATCACGAGGTCAAGAGATCGAGACCATCCTGGCCAACATGGTGAAACCCCATCTCTACTAAAAATACAAAAATTAGCTGAGCATGGTGACATGTGCCTGTAGTCCTAGCTATTTGGGAGGCTGAGGCAGAAGAATCACTTGAATCCGGGAGGCAGAGGTTGTAGTAAACTGAGATTGTGTTTCTGCACTCCAGCCTGGCGACACAGCGAGACTCCATCTCAAAAAAAAAAAAAAAAAAAAAGGAATCAAGTAGCCTGCCATGGCAGCATATGTCTGTAGTCTCAGCTATTCATTCAAGAGGCTGAGGTGGGAGAATCTCCTCGGCCCAGAAATGCACGGCTGCAGTGAGCAATGATTGCAACACTGTACTCCCACTTGGGTGACAGACCCTGTCTCAAAAATAATAATAATTGAGTGAAGGAGATGGGGGTAATAAAGAGAAAGGGACAGAAAGTCAGAGACAGAGAAAAACAAAGACAGGCCAGAAAAAGAGGGAGACAGAGAAACGGATCCAGAAAGGGAGAGTAGGCAAACAATAGAGACAGAGACAGGAAGACAGAGGAGGGCAGAGGGAAAGAATGAACACTGTAAGACTAATCTAGAGAAGGGGTAGTTAAAGATGAGTAGTCTTAGGTAATAGGTGAGCATAGCCAACTGCTGGTAAAAACACTGAGTGTTTTGGAAATGGAAGTAATTTAGGAAGATTCAGTAATGTCTTATGTTCTCTATTTTCCTGAGGAAGTAAATTGTTATGAGTAGGAGTGTTGAGAAGAATGGAATACAATTAAGATATAGTAATGAAGAGGTCAGAACATTATATAAGACAATATAAATTTGATCTTAATTTATCTTCATTTTAAAAATGAAAATAAGGTTTGAGGGAAAGTAGGTGGAATGATACAGGGAAATGGAAGAGAGGAAGGGAAGGAGGAAGAAAGGAAGATTTACATTGTATTTGAAGTAGAAAGACATTAAACTATATTTAGCAGAATAGCACAAAACATGAAACAAGTAATATCTGATAAGGAAAGAATGGAATCACTTAGACCCATGATTTAATTAACCCAATGTCACTACAGGTTTTTATACATTTGCAGGTCATGATGATCAGCGCTGAATATCCTAAGGTGCGTCAGTACCTCCGTGCAGAAAAGCAAAAGCGCTTAGAGAGCCTGGCAAGTGAAGGCAAGATGATTTTTCTGCAACTCAGGAGAAGTGAAACTAGAATGGCCAAGACGGGGAGACTCCTGAGAGGAATGGATGAGAAACTGAAGGAAATATGCTGCAAAGCAGATATGGCAGATATGAACCTGATACAGGTAAAAACTGAAGAAGGAGGTCAGGGTGCTGAATACCACCCTGTTTGGGAATCATATCTACTAGAGTCTATATCCTTTTTGATCTGCACTCTTTTCCAGTTCCAAATATTCAGATTCTGCCTCTCCTGACCTTATGGTAGCAGGTTTTGCTCCTCTGTAGACCAAGTCTCACTCTTTCTTGCCCCATAGAGGAGAAGGAAAACTATTTGGAAAAGTTCTAGTAACAAATCTAGGAAAATTCCCTTCTAAAATTATTTTACCATACCCTCTAATTCTTAGTAGTTGCAACAGAGCAGCTCATGAATACGATTCAATTTTGTATACAGATGTGTCAACATATGAAAGTGTGGGATTTATGAAGATTATTCACCCTTTTAGTTTTGAGGTCCTAGATTTGGGACCCACACATTCTTTTTTTTTTTTTTTTTTTTTTTTTAAGATACAGGATTTTACCATATTGGTCAGGCTGGTCTCGAACTCCTGACCTCAGGTGATCCACCCGCCTCGGCCTCCCAAAGTGCTGGGATTACAGGTGTGAGCCACCGCACCCAGCCAAGGGACCCACACATTATTGTAAGAACTTTGTGGAGATCTCTGTCAATCTGGCTGCACGTGGTTGTACAGCAGCAGGCCTTCCCATATGTTCAACCTCAGTCCATCTATGTTTCACCAAGAGTATAATTTTATCAACTATATGTAGACGTCAAACTGGGTTTCATATTTACAAAGAAAATGAAAAATGGCTTTATCCAGAGAAGGAAAGTAGAAGATGTTAAGTTTCTCAATCCAGTCCATATCCTCAGACTGCACTGTACTAGAGAACCATGCTGTGCTGCAAACTAAGCTGTCCTCTCTTTCTTTATAGGATTTAGGAGACATAATGAAGAGGTAAGTTTGCCCCTCTATCCAAGTCATGGTAATAATTGTGACAATAATCAGGCTGTTTCTGCTGGGATGGACCCACATTTGTAGTGACAAGTTTCTGTATTTATTCCTTTCTTTTCTAAAAGTCATCCAGGCTTTTTATATTGACTACTTCAGATGAAAGTGAAGGATGGGGAGAAGTATTAATTGCAAGGCCTACTATAGAAGTTTCAATAATACAACAATTTTTCCTGCCTCTAATTTTCTAAATAAATATTCCAAGGTTATGCCAGGCTGTCCATGGGAAAGGCAAATAATTTCAGAGAGGCAGCAGATGGAAAGATGGCAAAAATAGGAGAAAGGCAACAACACCAAGAAGGAATGTAGTGTAGAGCTGAGGCTCCATATGTAGCAGGTAGCATGTTCCAAAAATTTGACACCTATCAAATTTCAGAAATTAAAGGAGAATTTCTGCATGGCCCACCTAGGGAAGCTGGAAAGGTGAGAACTGATAATTATGACTGAGATGATGTATTCTACTGGGATAGAGGTATTAAAAGCAGCAGAGCACATAATAACATACAGTTGCAGTTGCAATATTTTTCAGGTCTTGAGTTCAAGTCACACTCTTCAACCTAATTCTGAGTACTCTGATCAAGCATCTTTACTGGATTGCTAATGATTCCTTTGGGACTGGTGGTAAGTAGGTACTTTTCTCTGCAGGAATGAGTTTCTGCACTGGCCATGCCTCAGCCTGTGAACCCACAGTTCAGTGCATGGACCATCACTGGGATGTCAGAAAGGCTTAACTTCTTCAGAGGTAAAAGTATGAGCTGCACTAATATTTCCAACATAAGTATTTTTATACGAGTAACCTATACTCACTTCAGTCTAAACTTTTCCGTCTCTGTTCATTATTATTTTCAGTGAACAAGCAGATAAATATGGAAACCTTTATAACCAATTTTAAAACTGTTAATAAACTTTCAGGAAAAGCTAACTGAAGTCTAGAGTAAATAAACAAAAAAGAATTGTAGTGTGTAACATGATTATTTTGAGTTAAAAAAAAAAAAAACACTCAGGAAAAGACCTGGAGGGATGCTATAAATAAAGTGTTAATTTTTCAATGTAGCATATAAAACTGCATATTTATAACTGTGGTTATATTTAGATAATCCGATTCTTAGAAACATCTTAATGTTATTCAAATGTTTACCTAAAGACTGAAGTTTTAAGGAATACATTTGGAAAACCACAGGATTCTCAAAAACATAAAAACAAGTTTGTAAACAACAGGTATAACCACAAAGCAGACTGAAAGATAATCCCTTCGCTGTGTAGAAGGTTACACAGACAAATGGAAATAGAGGGTGGGTCTGGCAGGCAGAAGAGAGGCAGCCATGGATGGGATGAAATTATGAGAATTCTGATCTAATGGTGTCCAAATCAGAAATTCTGGAAGAGAAACCACCTTTTTAAAAAGGCACATAAAGATTTTTAGTTCATTTCACCTTTGCTTGCTTACGTTGTGATGCCCTCATTACTTCTTGGCCTTTTGGCCAAGATCAAGTGTGAAACCCTGCCATCTTAGGGAAAGTGTTCATTGTTTAGGACTAATAATGATAACAATATCATGCTTAACTGTAATTAATAATGTGTTTATTATTTTTAGTATATTTTGTGAAAATTGATTAGTAAGGAGGCTTAAATAAAGGGCCACTTTGCTGTTTTCTTGGCATCTTATGAATGAGCTGGAAAATTTCAGTGGCCTAGTAAAAATAAAATCAGAGCTTGACATCCTACATCTTTATGTATTCTCTATATTTTCTCTCATCTTAATTGCTTGATTAAAGATTCATTTGCTCTACAAATAGACAAGCTGTTGCTAAACTGTCTCCATAATTCCCGATATACTCCATAAGCCATTTGTGATAGAATGGTGTGTCAGAGCCAGTCAACACTGACTCATGAGAGCTAATTGTTAAATGCTTTGAAAATTTTTTGACTGATTATTAAATTGTTAGTAGCCTGCTCATAGGCGGGTGTTGAACAATGAGAACACATGGACACAGGGAGGGGAGCACTACACACTGGGGTCAGTTGAGGGGAAATAGGGGAGGGACGGTGGGGGGTGGGGAGCTGGGGAAAGATAGCAAGGGGAGAGATGCCAGATGTAGGTGATGGGGAGGAAGGCAGCAAATCACACTGCCATGTGTGTACCTATGCAATAATCTTGCATGTTCTTCACATGTACCCTAAAACCTAAAATGCAATAAAATAAACAAATGGGAAAAAAAAATTGTTAGTAGCCTGAAACTGACCTTAGTGAGGTGGAAATATTCCTAACAAACAAAACAAACCAATTGCTTTTGTTTGCCTATTTTCAGAGATTGGGTGTTAAGCATTTGCCAGACTGCCTCTGCCCCTGTACCTCCGAACTTTTAAACTGTTCTTTGCATTCACTGTTTTTTACTACAGTGTCTATCACCTTGGATCGTAAGAAATGCAGTAATCACAAACTCCTGTTCAAAGACTTGAGGTGTTTGCAATGCAGTCTTGATGATACAGACATGTCCTGTAATCCAACAAGAACAGAGTATACTTCTTCATGGGGAGCTCAGATCCTCAGCTCTGGCAAACATTACTGGGCAGTGGATCTGAAAGACTCTTGTAATTGGGTGATAGGACTTTGCAGAGAAGCCCAGACAAAGAGGAATGACATGCAACTTCAGTCTGAGAGTATCGTTCAACTTCTGTGTCTTAAAGTGGATGACCATTTCAGTCTCTTCTCTACTTCCTCATTGTAACATCATTATATTCCAAGGCCCCAAGGCTGGCTGGGGGTATTCCTGGATTATGAATGTGGGATAGTAAGCTATATTAACATTGTCCAAAGTTTCCTCATTTGTAGTTTCATCTCACATATTTTCTATTTTCCTCTCAGACCTTTCATTAGATCCATGGCTCTAAATCATCAGGGACAGGTTACAAACCTAACCAAGACTTTGGGAATTCTGATAGCAGTGGAGGCTACTATTCTGGTGACTTTCTTAATGGAGAAAATCAGTCATACCTCATTACCTTTTACTTCATTTTACCTCCAGGATATGTATTTATTATGTCATTTTTTAAAGTGTTGATAATGTACACTATATACATTTGTCTTTTCTACTTTATTTGAATAAATGTAATGTCTTTTATTATATTGTATAGGATGCATGCTCTTTTAATTTATCAAAGCTTACTAGAGGTGAAAGATTACATGAGCATGAAAACCCAGCTAACTGAGTCAAATTAAAGCACAGACAGGTTGCTTTCCAGATATCCCTTATTAAAACTCAGTGTCAGCCTAAAATTCTCCATTCCCACTTGGATCAATCCTGTCCCTCCACTAGTTCTCAGCTTTCTGAACTAGATGAGCTCTCATGGAAACCCGATGTCAAGAACAGCTCACACATTTCCTTTGCAAAACTCCTAACATAATTTGGGTCTTTTTTCAAGTTTGTAAATTACAAGGGAAAGCCAATGTCAGTTCTCATTCATTAGAGAATAAAAAACCAGTCTGATGATATGAGAGATATTCAAGAAATATCTAAATAATTAAATGAGTGTGTAAAAATTATTAAAGTCAAAAGCTATAGAACCAACAAAAATATACTAAAATATAATTATTGTAGTATATAAGCAATAATTAGCAAGACAGGACAGACTGAGATGTATTATTACAGAAAGAATACATAGAGATGGTTATGACACTTAAGCCTGCTTGTTCAATTGAACCTTTATCATTTTGTAATGCCCTTCTTGTTTTTGGTTTAAAGTCTGTTTTATCTTAAGTAAGAACAGATGCTCCTGAAGTTTTTTGTTTGCATGGTAGATCTTTCTTCATCTTTTACTTTGAGCCTGTAGGTGTCATTATATGTGAGATGGGTCTCGCAAGACCAAATACACTTGGGTCTTGTCTTTTTATTCAGCTTGCCATTCTGTGCCTTTTAATTGTGGAGTCTAGACTATTTGCATTTGGGATTTGTATTGATATGTGAGATTTTGATCCTATCATCATGCTGTCAGCTGGTTGTTTTATAGACTGGATTGTATAGTTGCTTTATAGTGTCTGTTAGTTACGTGGTTTGCTCAATATTTTGGTTTCTCTCAACAGGAATGGAGCTTCCTGGTTGCATCTATTTGGCCATATTCTATTCTTTTTTAGCTGAGTGGTTTTTAACAGCTCAAATACACCACATTTTATTTATCCAAACACCAGATGATGTGCATCTGAATGGTTCCCAATTTTGGCAACTATAACTAATATTTCTACACAAATTAACCCACATATCTTTCATTATGTGGGCAGTTACTTGGGGTGAAAGTACTAAATTATTTAGTGGGTATTTTTAATCATTTAAGAACCTATCAAAATACTTTTTTAAAAAAGTGGCTGACCATTTTACATTGCCACCAGCATCTCGACAGCCAATTTTAAAAATTAGCTGGGCATGGTGATGTGTGCCTGTAGTCCCAGCTACTTGGAAGGCTGAGGTGGGAGGATGCCTTGAGCCCATGAGTTTGAGGTTACAGTGAGCTATGATCTTGCCACTGCACTCCAGCCTGGTTGACAGAGGAATATCCTCTCTCTGAAAAAAAAAAAATGCTCAACATCATTGTACAATGATTTTATTGGATAGTTTGTCTACTTGCTGAGTTGTAAGAGTTCTTTTTGACAGAAATACTTTATCTTATATATGTTTTGCAAATATAACTTCTGCCAGTCTATGGCTTATAATTTTATTATCTCCTTGGAAGAATATTTTTAATTTTAATAAATCCAATTTGTCATCTTTTAATGTTTATTTTTTTGATGCCACATGTAAAAAATACTTACCTAATACAAGGTCACTAAATTTTTTTATATGACTATATCTAGAAGTTTTACAATTTTAGGCTTACATTTAGGTCAGTGATCCATTTTGACTTAATTTTTATGTACAGTGTATGGGTTTGAAGTTCATTGGTTTGCATATGAATTCCAAAAATGTAAACACTGTTTGTGGAAAAGATTATCATTTAATCTTTTGAATGATCTTAGCACCTTTGTGAAAAATCAACTGACCACATATGTGTTATCTACTTCTGGACTCTAATTCTGTTTTATTGTTTTACATATTTCTTTATGTCACCATACACTAACATAGTTTTTTGATCACTCCACACTTGTAGCACATTTGAATAAAAATAATATGTATCTTCTCATTTTATTCCTTTTTGAAAAGCACTTTGGCAATTTTATAACTTTTATATTCCTCAATACTTTCCACAACTTTTATTGAGATATCTGTATAACATAAAATTCTCCCATGTTATATGTAAAATTCAATGATTTTTAGCATATTTATTGAATTCCACAACTGTCACCATAATTTAGTTTTTGAATATTATTATTCCAAAAGAATGCCTTGTGCTGGTTTACAATTAATTTCACCTTCTACCCTAGTACTAGGGAATCAATTACCTCTCACTAACATTCTGCCTCTGAATATGCAATTATACAGTATATAGTCTTTAGTGTGTCTTTTAACATGAAACAATATTTCCAATATTTATCCATATTGTAACATAAATTAGTATTTCACTATGTTTATGATTAGCATTTCACTCAATGAATATTTCACATTTTGATTTTTCTTTCAAGAGTTGATCAAGATTTGGATTGTTTTTAGTTTTTAGCTATTACAAATAATGCTATCATGTGTATATGAGTTTAAGTTTTTGAGTAAACATGTTTATATTTCTTTTAGGTAGATACTGAAGAATGAGATTCCTGGGTATTCTGGTACATTTATGTTTTTTTTTCTTTTTTTAAGAAAACAAACTATTTTTCAAAGTGACTGTATTATTTTACATGCTTACCTGAAACGCAGTAAAATTCCCATTGCTTCATAACCTTAATAATGAATGCTATTGTCTGTGTTTTTTTAATTATAGCTGTTGTATTGAGCTTATAGTGGTGTGTAATTTGGGTTTTAGTTAAAATATTCTTAATGACTATGCTGTTGAGTTTCTTCTGTGTACTTACTAGTCATATTAGAGATATTCAATTAATGCACCATTTATAAAATAAATGTGAAAGGTCTTAATTTATCTATTAAAAGATAAAAAAACTATTTTTATAAGCTCAAATGTAATTCCCAGCTATGTCCTGTATACAAAAAAATATACCTAAAGCAAAATAATTCAGAAAGGCTACAAGTAAAGAGAAGAATAAAATTATGCTAGAAACATGGAAACATTAAGAAAGAAGTATCTGGAAATCTGATAAGATAGTAAGTAGAATTTAAACCAACAGCATTCAATGTGACAATTTAATGCTATCAAAATTTACAATAAGAAAATAAAAAAATGCATCAAAAGTATAGCAACCAAAGTTATAAAGTAGAAGGTTAAAACAGATGCTAGGAACCCTAGGTAGAAACACACTCAATATATAAATTATTTATATAGGACTTTTAGTACCAAACAGATGAAGAAGCCATATATAAAAAACTATATGGCATTTTCATATACATACATATATATATACACATAGGTACATACAAACACACACACGCATATATGTATATATGGTATAAAAAACAAGACTATAATCAATATAGATATTATGTGTATTTTAACACTGTGGAATTCACTAATATTTTCTTTGTAATTTAATTTATAATTATTTGTTTCATAGAATAGTTTATATTATTAAAAAAATGTATTTTCTATGATCGGTTTAAATAATTACACAAACATACACACAGATACACGAAACAGTTCTGATTAAACCTCTGTTATAGGCAGACACTGTCCCTGGGACTTACGAATGGGACCTTCTCAGTAATCTTGCTCTGCCTTTGGTTCTAGGTCTTAATCAAACTTCTTGGATACGTGTCTTAATCTAACACGTATTTATTCTCTTTCCCATCTTTCAATTTCTGGTTCTCATCTATGAGCTAAAATAAGTTTTTACTGGTACCCTACGGGAAGCTATATTTCTTGATATTCCTTGCAGTGGTTTAGGCTTCTGTTACACTGTAGAGATACGGAAGAGATAGGGAAGGTCCAGGTCTTTGTGTGTGACATATCTTTAGATACATTGAAAGAGGTAAAAAAAAAAAAAAAAAAAAAAAGTGGAGTAAAAGAAAAAAAAGTCTTTAGATAGAACTTTTGTGTTGTTAATATTTATTTTTTAATATTAAATATTCTTTAAGTTTTGTCCTGATTCGTTTATCTTAAAGTTATGTTTGATATTCTTTCATTTTGTTGCAAGTAGTGAGAGTTCATTCTTTTTCTTTGCTTCATAAAATTTATTTGCATGGATATGTCACAACTTATTTAGGCATTCTACTGGAGATAATTTTTTTAAATTTTGGTATACTATGAACAGTAATGGTATGAAGAATGTTGTACTGTTGTACACATATTTTAAATAATATATGAATGCAGCCTGTAATCCCAGTACTTTGGGAGGCCAAGGCAGGCAGATTGTATGAGGAAAGGGATTTGAGACCAGCTTAGGCAACATAGTGAGGCCCCTTGCTCACCTGCTGCTCACCTACTGCTGTGCGGCCAGGTTGCTAACAGGCTAAGGGGTTTGAAGACCCCTGATGTAGAGAATGCTGGGTATGGCTGGTCCTTCAGCTTCTTTCATACAGCCCTAGGCATTTCCGTCTACAAGTTTTTTTATTGAGCTGTGCAGTTCGACCTGCAAGCCAGTAGATGGTGCTTATGTGTTAGAGCTGGTTTTGATAAAACATGGCTCGGTTTATACTTGACCCTTGTTTACTAGGAGAAGTGCCAAGTAATTCCTGGGCTGATTCGTGGAGTTCACAATGTTCTCAGCTCCCTCCTCAGCTCTGGGGGCAGCAGGAGCAAGACGAGTAGGGCCATACTGGGCAGATCTGCCTACAAGTCCCCCAGTAGCAGGCACAAGCACCAGCACCAAAGGAGAATCCACTGGGTGGCCACCTAGTGCCCATGGAAAGTGGTTTTTCAGAAACCATTTGTGAGAGTAAATCTAATGGCAGAAGTCAGTCCAAAAATAAGAAGAAATTTCCAAGAGATAGTAAAAGCTTGAATTAAAAAAGAAGAAATTAGAAATGTGAAGGACAAAATATACCTGACAGACATTTAAGGTTTTATGGTTTAACAACACTATCTAGGTAGGGCCTGATAGGATGTGGAAATTGAGGAAGAAAAGTATCTAAACTAAATCTCAGTTTTCCAGGATAGATACGAAAGTAAATAGTCATACCAATTCCTGAAACCAGGAAGGTGAGAATAACCTTTCAAGAATGAAAGCTGATGGGTTTTTGGACATGAGAAACTTGAAGTGCCCCTAATTCACATTAAAAGCCTCAGTAACATCCAGGTGGCTTTATGAATCTGCAACTCAGAAAAGAAAGCAGAGCAAGAAATAAGGATTTGGAAGTCCTAAGAATAAATTGCCTCTTAAAATCTGGACATATATAAGAAAAAAAAGGCAATTCAAACAAAATTTAGTAAAGTGAAAATAACCTGTTTTTATTTTGTTGACTATAACTTTCTATGTGATAATATTATGTACTATTTAGAGTTGACTAAAGAAAATGACTTTTGAAATAAGTTCATAAAATGCAAAGTCAGCTGAGGTGGAAAACTCACAATAGTGTTGGCCTGAATTAATTGAAAAGTTTCTAAAATGTCTTATTATAATCTCCATGGTATTCTCTTAGCTAACAAAATATTTAGTATATATTAACTTTATGATAGTTAAATCTTCCAAATATAGGGCATTAGGTAACCATGCGTGGGTACTGATTATATTAGTGAGATTAGCTTAGTCTGCCATAGAATGATATGCAGAGTAATAAAAAGATTATATAATGCTATCTCAAAAGTAAGAATAAATCTATTAGTCTTTTATCAGTCAGGGTTCAACTGGAGAAGTAGAACTAGTAGGAGGGAGGGAGAATAAAGAAAAAAATGTCATCTTACTATGGAAACTGACTAAGCAAGCTGGAGATCAGTAAGGCAGTCTTTCTGGGGAAAAAAAAAAATGGAGCAGGCAGAAATCTAACTAACACAGGACAAAAATTGTCCACAGGCAGTCAGGAGCAATGTAGAACTTTTCCTATTTGGAGTTTTATTCAAGGAATGCTTGAAACTTGCTTTAATGGCCTTCCATTAAGTCAGGTCCACTTAAATAATTTCCATAGATTAGAGTCAAGATTAGGAACTTTAATTGCATCCACAAAATCATCACGGTAGCACCTAGGTTAGTATTTGCTTGAATAACTGGGAGAATTCTGTGTAGGCTACAAAATGACTGCTTTGCTCTCTTACATTCTTATAGTTTACTCAGGCTGACATATCATAAAAACATCATAAACCTACATGCCTTTTGATTTAAAAAGTATTTTAAAATATAAAAATTGTTTTAATCTAGATTTGCTATGCAGAATCCTATAAGGAAAGAATGTTCTGAAAATGCAATTTATAATTCAATAAATGTAAAATTATTGCACCCCAGCCTGGGCAGCAGAGCAAGAACCTATCTTAAAAGAAAATCTACAATTTACTGGAGGAGGGACATTGAGAGTGTTACTCTCCCCTCCCATTATTAGACAGATCAAAGAAAAATACAAGAATAAAAGCCATCCTGCAGACTGCAGGGAGATTTGCGTGCAGTGTGTGTCATAACACAGTGTCCAGATTGACACCCCCTTTACTGATAGGATTATCCTCTTCCTCTCTTCTTGCCACTTTTTCTCTTATTTTTTTTTTTCAAAATTCATAGCTTTATAGGGAGTAATGGGAGGAAAATATGGCATGGACTGGTCCAAAACTATAAAAGGAAAAAATAAAATCAGGAGTTACCAGATGTGGGTAACTCCCCATACAGGCACCAAGGAATGAGAGCTAAGCAGAACCCTGGCACAGTTAGGGCTTGAGGAATATCTCACTTTATAGTGTTACTACTCAGATATTTCCTTTTATATAATCCTTTACATAATCATATATTAGTTTATAGAATTAGGGCTTGAAGGCTCCCTTTTATATAATCCTCTATATATAATCATATAATAGTTGATAGTATGAGTGCCTAAAGAATATTTCCCTACATATAGACTTATAACTATATCTTAGTTCATAATCAGAGGAATGCCTAGAGTAGACACAGTACAGAGCATGAATTAAGAGATAAGCAGCTTATAATCGGAGGAATGCCTAGAGCAGACACAGTGCAGAGCATGATTTAAGGGAAAACAGTTATACCAGGACAAGAATCCATGGCCCAGGCGGCAGCGTTCAGTATCGTAAAGATACCTGCTGTATGGCAGGCTTGAGGCGAGAGCCACTCCTCCTGATAAAGGAGTTGTAGGACCTTGCTCCAGTTCTCGTGGAAGGCTGCCCTCAGAACAGCAATCCACCTTGGTGACTGTGAACTTTATCGGCTCTTGCTACTGTGCTGCTTGAAAAGCATCTTCCCATTGAACCCATTGGAAGCTGCCAGAAGGTGGCGGTAACCTTGACAGCTCTGTCACTGCTATGTGACTTAAAGCATCCTCCTATAAATCTTCTTAGAAGTAGTTTTCCTATAGATAGAAGTATTGCACACTGCACCCTCCTCACTGCGCACGGCCCACCTTCAAGCCTCGGTGACCTAATGGGGGTGGACCCCTTACTGCACATGGCCCTTGCCTTCATGGGAATGGGCCCCTTGCTGTGCACTGTCCACCTCTTGGCCTAGGTGACCTAATGGGGGTGGACCCTATGTTTTATTGCTCACGACCCTATCACTATCCTTAAAGATGATTTCACTCACTGCCCTGCCCCCTAACCTATAACAATAAATACTCATGCTTCTGGACATTCGGGGGCCTTGCCTGACTTCGTTTACAGGTGGCGTGGCCCCCTGAGCCCAGCTGCGTTTTCTTTGTACTTCTGTGTCCTGTCTCTTTATTCTCTCGGATCCTGCGCCTCAGCACAGCATAAGGCTCACCCCACGACCCTGTGGGGCACTCAGCCCTACATCTGGCTCACAACGTGCCCTACAACCAGATGACATAGAAAAGGGATCCCCAGAGAGTTGTCAGGAGACAAGAGAGAAATATTTTCTTAACAGGGAAGAAGAACTCTGAAGATGTCTCTCTGTTGTGAGAAATCCAACAGCCAACACATTAGCAATGGAGTGTTTTATCGTGGGGATACATGTTGGTTTTACAAAGTTGTTAACCATTGGTCTGCTTCATGATAGTATATTTTCACATTGCAAAATTTATTAGGAATCAATTTTTACACTACTTTCCAGAGGTAAAAGTTTTATCAATCAATTCACTATTTTTGTTGCCCAAGAAAATAGAGATAATCATAGATCACAGATCTATCTAGTGCTAGCTAAGGACAATTTATTAGAGAGAAGGATGCATTGTGATTTAATCACAAATTGAAGGTTTAAAGGTTGCGCGGTGGAAGAGAATTCTTTGTGTCTCCTGCCTTCAGAGTTCCACGTTTATGGGGAAGAAGAGTCAAGCTAGGAAGAATAGTGGCACTGTGCCCTCCAGAACTGCAGCATGCTTGGGAATTGTAAGGTTTCATGTTTTCCAGGAGACTGTGGAACTAGGAGGATGTCACCAGTGGCTAGCACAATGCCACCTTCCTTACATCTGCCTATCATCCCTCCTCAGGGCATCCAAATGTGGCCCTCTCCCCAACTTCTTCCTCTGCTTCTCTCCTCACAACCCTGGAATCTGAGCACTCTCTTTACCTGTCAACATGATCTGCTTAGGGAAGCCCCAGCTACCTGCTGCAGTCAGAGCTGCAGCCCCGAGCTGAGTCTAGCAGAAATTTTGTAAACTAAAGATAGTGCAAGATTATCATATACTGCTGGCAGAAATATAAATTAGTCCACCCACTATGGAAGGTAGTCTGGAGATTTCTCAAATAACTTACCACAGAACTACCATTTGATCCAATTATCTCATTACTGAGTATATACTCAAAAGAAAATAAATCATTCCGCCAAAAAGACACATGGACTCCTATGTTAATGGCTGTACTATTCACAATAGCAAAGACATAATTAACCCAGGTGTCCATCAATGGTAAACTGTATAAATAAAATGTGGTACATACATTATGGATTACTACATAGCCATAAAAAATAATGAAATTGGCCGGGTGCGGTGGCTCACGCCTATAATCCCAGCACTTTGGAAGGCCGAGGCAGGCGGATCACGAGGTCAAGAGATCGAGGCCATCCTGGCCAACATGGTGAAACCCCGTCTCTGCTACAAACACAAAAATTAGCCGGGCGTGGTGGCCCGTGCCTGCAGCCCCAGCTACTAAGGAGGCTGAGGCGGAAGAATCGCTTGAACCCAGAAGGCGGAGGCTGCAGTGAGCCGAGATTGTGCCCCTGAGCTCCAGCCTGGTGACAGAGCAAGACTCCGTCTCACACACAAAAAATAATAATAATAATAATAATGAAATCATATCCTTCACAGCAATGTGGATGGAACTGGAGGCTGTAATCCTAAGCAAGTTAATGCAGGATCGAAAAACAATGCAGGATTAGAAAACCAAATGCTGTATATTCTTACATGTGGGAGCTAAGCACTGAACACACACCAATACGGGAAAAATAGACTCTGTGAACTACTTCAAAGTAGGAGAGGGATGGGCTAAAAAAACTACCTACTGGGGCGGCCTCTACTACCCGCCTCACCTTTCTCAGGATTGCTCCTCCTGCTCCGGGTGGGTCTTGTGCCCACCGGGGTAAGTGCCCTCAAGCCTCAGGCCAGAGAAGCTTGGCCGCGGAAACTCGTCCTGTGACTCCGCGCCCCCACCAACCTTCCCCTCAGCGCGAGCGCCCGGCTCAGGTCACTCAGGGCGAGGAGACCTAGAACTCCGCCGCCACGCCGCCACGCCGCGTCCCCGCCCCACGCAGCGGCCCCGCCCCTACGCAGCGACCCCGCCCTACGCAACGCCCCTGCCCTAACCGCAGCACCACCGCCCTACGCGGCGGCCCCGCCCCTACGCAGCGCCCCCTCCCTACCCAGCACCTCCACCCTACGCAGCGCCCCCTCCCTACGCAGCGCCTCCGCCCAGGCGTGCGAGGCACCACGCCCTCTTCTGCCCTGGGGGGCCTGGAGGGGGCCGCTTCAGATCTCAGCACTCGTTGTAGTCGCTGCCACTTGCGGGAGGGCGTGACAGAGGGGTGGCTTTCCCAGCGGGCTGATTAGCCCAACCCGCAGAGAGACCTAAAATCAAGGCACGACATAACAGCTTATCTTATAAGAGAACAGCTCAACCCAAAGGCAGATTGCTAGTTTGGACTTGATTACAAGCAGGACTGCCACGATGTGTTTTTACACTGAATTGAATTCCAAGATGAGTACAGAAAGTGGCTTCCCTACTTTCTCTCCCAAGCACAAGTGTATACATGTTGCAGACTTGAATCGCTGAAGATGTAAGCCGGCTGTCACTCTCTGTTTGGGAGAACCTCTGTGGACAGCATGAAGACTGTCCCTAATCAAAGTCTTTAGTAAGCAGGAAGGATAGTCAAGGTTAAACAATGTGTTTGATTACCCTGGACTGCAATACTTTGGAAAATGAATCAAGGCTTGGGTTTTACTCTGGAAGCCGTTTCCGCCTGCTTCGGTAATCCTGCACTCTGCATCTACATCTTGGCCTTTTACGAACACTGCTGTATGTTACTCTTACAATTCTCTGCCCTTCTGCAAGTTCAGAAGTGACACCTTATTTCACTTCTGAGCCACTTTCTGGAAGGACCTGTAGAACTATATTGTTCTGCTAAACCTGTGACCACTCGTAGCTCATGGTTGCGTAATGGAAAAAATAGAATAGAAACATGAAATATATTAAGATTCGTCAGGGGACTTTGACAATTTTTTTCTCTTAACTCCTCCCTTTTGGTTTACTACTAATGCATTTCTAACAATAGGTCAGTGTGGTTGTAAGTGGCCCTGTAACGGTATCTACAGCAGTTGGTGGTGGTTTTGGTTCATCCACAAAGCATGTTGTTGGAGCAGAAGAAGAAAAGTGCTGGTTTCATTGACTGCAGGGTACCAGAGAGTAACCCCAAAGCTGAGGTGTGAGCTAAAATCCAGGGAACGTGGCTGAAACGTTCCACAGAGGATTACTTAATCCTTCCATCAGGACATCTTTAGATTTTGAATGTATCCTTGTCCAAGGGATCAAATATGCAGATTATAATCCTGTCATGAATTAAAAGGTGAACCTATTGGTCAAAAGCTTTTTGTGAGTCACCTTTCTTGAGATGATTTTGACATTCTTCACCCTGCTCATTCACAGGTATAAGCTGTTCTTTCATGTAGCCCTTGGAGTGTGTGGTTAGTGGGGTCCCAGCTCAAGTGTAATGGCTAAAGCACAGGCAGGATATTGCCCCAGGGAGCAACTGGGGAAGGTTGTATTCTCATCTTGCCACAAATAGCATTAACCCAGTGGACTCTGGAAACTATTCCTCCATGGTGGGAAACAGATCTGGAGATGTAAAATATGTGACATACATGGTTCATGTACTTGAACATGCTCCCATTTCTAAAAGACTACATGATCACATAGTGTCTCTGGTTTCCACAGTCCACTTTACCGGTGATGTTTGTGGGAACCCAGCCGCCAACAGTACCTGGTTTCATAATGCACAGCCTGTTAATCCTTCCCCATGACATCTAACTGCAGGAAATGGACTGAAAGTCAGTGGGGTTATTATGCAAGATATTGGGCTGTATCAGTGTTTAGCAGATAATGGGAATGGATTTATGCAGTCTACTGGAAGACTTGAAATAGAAAAAGGCAGTGGATTTAAGCAAGTTATAATTGTGGCTCTTCATGTGAATCTTGGACCCTTATGGACACAGCTGTATTTACTCATGATTCTCTGCTTTTCTATGAGTTTAGACTTGGCATCTTATTTTACTTCTGATCCTCTCTCTGCCATCCAGAAACGTGGTGGATCTGTAGAACTGCATGGTTCTGCTAAACCTGTGACCACTCATATCTTATGGATGCATAATGGAAAAAAATAGGAAAGAAACATGTAACATATTAAGATTCATCAGAAGACTTAGACAATTCTTTCTCTTAACTCCTCCCTTTTGGGTTTCTACCAATCCATTGCCAATAATAGCATAGGTATTATTGTGAGTGGACCTGCAATGATATCCATGGCAGCTTTTGGTGATTTTGGATCATCCACAAAGCATGTTATTACAGAGGAAGAAAAAAGTGCTGTCAGGATAATAGAAACGATGTCAGCTCTGATCACACAGAAAATCCAGAAGACTTCAACAGAGGGACAGCTGTGTCTATTTATTGGGATTCACTCAGGGTGGGTGACAAAATATTAGGGAAATATTAGGGAAAGTCAGAAGAAACAGAGAGCAACATTTTATGTTGGAACCCTCTTATTTTGCCACCTATCTCAGAGGACTGTGCTGAAAAGACAACATGGCCTTCATCTGGTGTTTCTTTAGACAGCCCCTCAGGAGTCCTCCAGCAGCCCCAGGAAAGCAAACAACTTCATGTTCTGACTTCAAGCCTGTAACTAACTGCACAAAACAGGCCTGGGAGTGAACTGCATGAAGGACGTTAATTCAAATCAGAGAAAATCAATTTTTTATTTTTTACAGTATAATGTCATATGAATGTATCTTAAAATGTGTGCCTTAAAATGTTCAGTTTTTGAGGCTAAATCTGTATTTCAAAAGTTGTGCCTAAGTCCTCCTAGTTAGATTTTTGTCCTTTACCGTTCAATGTGTGTGTGGCTTGGAGACGGCATTCGCTGGTCAGGAAGTTTACAATTACGCTCCACTTTCAGTAGACTAACAGCTCAGAGGTCCTCTCTCTGGTTACTGCTAAGACAGTGCATGGTCAGTCTTCCAGATCACCAGAGATGAATGTGATTTTATTTTTAAATCTGGTTTCTAGGAGTCACTCCCTGGAACAGAATAATTTATTCTTCACCCAGTGTTCACTGAGAATTTGTGCTTTAGCTCTTAGCCAGGATGGGTAAAAGCTCTTTGCTGATGAATCAGTGGTTAACTTGGGGAATGCTTACAAATTTGTCCACATTCCGCCTCGATTGCTCTTGGGTGGGTGCAGTCTAGCACAGAAACACAGGCTTCCATGTCTCCTGAAATTAGTGATCCCAGGAGACCTTTTCTTGGCTTTCTCTTTGCCTGGTTTTCTCTGGCAGACTGCCAGAAGTTTATTTGCTGTTACAAAGCATGCTAAAGATTTCAAGCCCCTTTTCACTGTTCCTAACCGAGGTCTCCATTGTTTTTGACAATGCCGTTGGGAATGGGGGTCACTACTTAAGCTAGTACATTTCATATTACCTTCTCCTACCCTTGAACTGGGATTTACCACATTGGCTGCCCTGGTACCCAGGCCTTCAGACTCAGATTGAATAGAGTCCAGCTTACAGATTGCAGCTCATGGTATTTTTTCCTCCACAATTTTGTGAGCCATTTCTTCATAATACAGTTAGTTTTTCCGGGTGGGCAGATAACTTCAGGTCAGGAGTTCGAGACCAGCCTGGCTAACATGGTGAAACTCTGTCTCTACTAAAATACAAAAATTAGTCAGGCATGGTGGCAGGTGCCTGTAATTACAGCTACTTGAAAAGCTGAGGCAGGAGAACCACTTGAATCTGGGACGCAGAGGTTGCCATGAGCCCAGATTGTGCCACTGCACTGCAGCCTGGGCAACAAGACACCATCTCTGTCTCTCTCTCTCTCTCTGTTCTGTATTATTCTACCTCTCTCTATCACTCTGTTCCTCTATGTTAGTGGTTCTGTTTCTCTGGAGAATGATGACTAATATACTAAGAAAAATTACATCAATATATGTTAAATAAATTTGTTAAACCTTGATACATATTATAAAATAAAACCAAATAATAATAAAAGTAAATAGCAATTTTCATTCTTTATAATTTATTTCAAATGTACATGTCAGCATAATTTTCATGATTTTAAATTCCGTAAGCATTAGGTTGAAAGTCAGAAGCAAGCCAAAACCATATTATTGCTGAACATTCTTCTGGATATTTTAATACAACACATTTAGAAGTTAGAAGTATAAAATGGTAAACATTTTCATTATTCTCTAAAGCTTATTATTTACCTAGAAAAAAAAACTTACAAATAAAAATTTTCTAAGATATCTAAAGACAAAATAAACACTCAGTATTCAATGGTTTTCATATAAAAAGTATACAACTACTTCTGTGATGCTAATATTCATGAGAACAAAATGTGAAAATAGCCAGAATCATTTAAGAGAATAAAGGTATACTGAGAAGGCATTAATCTTAGGTTGATTTTCAAATATATTAGTAAATCAAAAAATTAAAAGAATGTGATATTGATGTTTGAATTCATGGATATAGCAGACAGTGAAACAGGTTAGTGTACTTATCTATATCTGCCTTTCTGTGCATCCTTCTATCAATCCTGAGTGCTAAAGGTGAGATTCACTTGCACCTAAAGTAGCAGGAAAGATTTGGAGCTTCAAGAATAAATGCAGATAGCACCTACAGAAGCTGTACCCAATGTCATAAGGGATTCTGTGGAGGAGCTCATTCAAATGAAATAGGTCAGTTTATATTTTGTATTTTCATTTTTTCTTGTATGAGCGAGGAAAGTCTTGTTGAAAGTTAAGATTCAGATACACACAGAGAAATATTGAAATATTGCTGCCTACTCCCAGGCATGGGAATGGCCAACTTCTTACTGCAGGGAGTGGAGGAGAGAGAGATCAAGAGTGCGACAATTTTCTTAAGTCACTTACCCTACCTTTCATTAAATATCTCCAACCCTAGATTTAGTGCAGGAATCCTGAAAAACATTCCCACAGGGAAGGTCAGGGTCCCAGGCTCATGGACGTCCCCTTACCGCCTTTAGCAGGGCAAAAATAAGTAAAGCAAAGCTTCTTGCTTCAGAAATATTCAGTCTAATACAGTGTATACCCTACAGCCTAATCATTGCTTCATTCCAGGGGCTTTAATTGCATAAAATTCCCTGAGAAAGGGATGATATTTGTTAGTTTTTTAAGGATAAGGCCAGTATTAACTCAAGCTTATTTTTATTCTCTATCAAGAGTCCCTCCCATGTAATCCTGATCGAAGAGGGTGCTGTACCAAGTTACTTCTTCCCAACCTGTCC